GTGTTACGGTTCACGAGGTGTAGCAGCTGCTAAGCGCAGCCTTTTCAAACATTTGGGTTGTTTCGGCATGCATTCTCGTACCCACATGTTGGAAACTATGTGCCCAACTGTCTTCCGTAGGCGTTGGGGCTCGTGATGTTTGTTTTTGAAGGGAACGCGAGCCTTACACCTTACACCCAAACCTTAAATTCTGCATCCTAACCGTCTCTTGCATCTGTCAGGCCTTTTTGAAGTCGTGGGGCGATCGCTGGGGCTAGGCGAGACCTTACGAGCATCTGCACAGACCTTTTCCGAGGGCTTAGATGAGGACCCAGCGGTGGGCTTGAAAAAGGTTTGTGGGTGTTGACCATCAAGGTTGAGATTGCCACATGCCACAGATGGGCATCGTTCGTTCGCCCAAAACCGGCTGAAAAACATGGTCACCCGCCCTTCGTGAGGAGCTCTTTATGACTGAGGAAGAGTTCTTACGGTTGATTCGAAAGACGGAGGTGCAGCAGCTGCTTTGCGACATGGACGTGAATGTGGACCTCTGGCAAGCAAGCGGCGCTGTTCTTTCAATCCAAGGGTGGCTACAGGGACGTTTGCACCTTAAACTCGGTAGGGACCCTTGGGATAGACAGAGGATTGAAAACGGATGTAAGCAGATTACAGAGGTCCGCCCACGGGGAAATCCTCATATATCCTCGTGTTATGCCGAGACGCCATTGCGGCAGAAGTGGTACGGATGACATACCTGTGAAATGCAACCTTAGGAATGCGCACAACCGTATGTCTTGCACTACAATGGTCAATGGTGCTAATGACGACTATCGCATTCTGGGACTACTATCACTACCCTTACTGCTACCACCAGTCTCATTTACGACGCCCACACTGAATATTAATGTATCAAATAAGATTCGTATGGTCATGGCATGGTAACTTTCCCAACCGACCCCCCAAGCCCGAATGCAAAAGTGACGGATTCTAGTATCAACAGTACCACTCAGCACCGCTTCCAACAACACCATGCGTAGCTGACCATGGCAGTAGCAGTTCACCCGTTACGCCGAAAAAGAATGGGCTTTGATCATCAGGTCACAATCATTCCTGAATCGCAGGGGCTGTGAGCCTTGAACTAAGACCGTAACATACCGTAACCCAAGAGCCTTCATATTAGACACGAAGCCATAAATCTTAATCGGAGGAGCCGCGGGAAGGCATCTTCGCAGCCTTCAGCATAGAGGAGGATGGCACGGTTTCCATGTCCGAGATAGTGCCTGGGCAGGATATTGGGTTTTGGTGTTTAGGATTTCGTTGTTCTAGGCTAAAGTTTTCGGGGTTGTGTCACCAGTGTGTTGAGACCACCCTCAAGTGTATTCTTAGGTGTAATTCCTGACGTCGCCACTGCATGACCCCTGCAAGACAGAAAAACAACTGCTGGTTTGTGCGAACTTGGATCACAGGAACGTGGGGGGGAAGCTAAACGAAACTCGACGGGTATAAGCTTTTCTTCCTGTGAGATGCAGTCATGGCAACAAGACATAGGCTGGTGATTTCTCTCTCTCGAGAGACTGTCTTGACGGATGCGGGCCCGTGTGGCCTTATAGTGGATGGAAGAGTGGTTGATGTTGATCTTGCACTAAAGCATCTTTGCAAACGTAGGCGGTATCGCGGCTTTGTGGCGCCGCCAATGCCCAGCATACATAATTCGACGAGCACGGACGGGAGGAGCCAGGAAATACCGCTGCCGGACCGACCATCCTTTGGGAAGCTAGATAAATCCGTTCAGCCCGAGGGCTGACAGGTTTGAAGCCAGTGGTCCAGGAGTCTAGGCTCCGGGCATGCGTTGTCTGATGCTCCGTGAAGCTCGGGCAACTTCGGCCTCTGCCCGGGGGTTGTCGACCCTGCGGACTTCAAGAAGTTCCGAGTTCGCCGAGCATGGGGATTACTGAAAGATTGGGCGTGTAGCCTTTTCGTGTTGTAAACTGGCACCCAGCTCCGACAACGCAAAGGTCTTGTCTCCAGTAGTGTTTGCAAACTGGTGCAAACACTGCAGCTAACAGGGAAGGTGTGCCACAGTCCCTACTCAAAACGAATTTGCAGTCCTTAAGCCTTAATTCCTGGATCCTAGCGCCAGAAGCTCCCAACCCTCAGACTCAAATGAGTGTTCCCCAGAGACGCGCCATGACTCTAGCTTACTACGCCACTCCGAACCGTGCATCCCTTGTCCCCGACCTGTCCGAAAGGTCTCTGGCCTCATGCGACTACGAGGAGACTTCCTCGAATTTGATGACAGCTATCCTGAGGGCTGCTGTGGAGTTCCCTTGTGAAGGGTTTGCGGTGTTTGGTGTGGGGCTTCAAGCTTGGGGCTTGAAGCCCTCGCTTGAGTGGAGAGTTTGTTCGCGTAGGGCTTTTGGGGTGCAAGTTACATTGGACGCTTCAAGGTTTAGTTTGTGTTTTGTGCTGCGCCACCCGAGCATGGAACCCATGTATGCTGCCTGCAACTGGACACACGTACCTTCAGGGTTGCTTTGTAACTTAGACTTCAACCCCGAATCCCTCTCGCCAGGCCTTGAACAACCGAACCCCATCTAAATCCTGAACTCTAACCCCAAGGCGACCTTAGCAAGATCGATATGGCCATTGCCCAGTCCGAGCTGGAAAGCCTGCAGCGGCAGGTGGGTGTTCCTCAATCGTGGGTGGGGACCAAAGGATGGGTTTCATAGGTTTGGGTAATCTGCTTGTCAAGGACGCCAGGGATAGGCATGTTGGGACTATGGGGGCAAGGTGGTCCTAGTTTCATCGGGGTTATTTCGACAAGATGCAGGTCACGAAGCTGACGCAGCATGTTGAAAAGACTGGTTAGGGCACGTGGCGACTCGTGCCCACCGAGCTGAGCAGCCTATGCATGATGACTTGTGCAGCCCACGCTAGAAACCAGCGGGCATGTATGTGAGTACTTCTACCGAGTTTAAGACCTAGCTTCAAGAGGAAGGAGTCGCAATCCATTTTGCAAAATTATACCGGTGCATTGCACGAAGACGAAGAACATGGTATCTTGGGCTTAACAGCCCAAGCCCCGTCGGTTCACTCAACAAGAGTGACCAAACTGTTCCTGGTGCTCCCCTGGATGCTTCCTAGCTGCTGAAAGCAGCGAAAGGAGCACCGCCACGGATAGGGAAGCTCAGCAGAGTGGCAACATGTTTACATAGATCGGAAACCAACTAAACGATTGTATGCAAGCCGTTCTTCAAGGATCTCGGCTTTTCCGAAAGCTGAGCTATGCCCTTACCCAGCACTGCCCAGATCTGCCCTGCTTTGCGGGTTTTGCTCCGACAACGATCAGGATGTCTTGTATTATTGATTATTATTGTCGACAGCATGCCACAGCCATCAGACATTTCGGTAGTGATTCTTGCTTACGGCTATTGCAATGTGTTTCTCCGTGTTTTCCACTGTGCTTCCTGATGTTGCGAATGTCAAACTACCCGCCTTGTTGACCAGTGAGAGAGCAGCCAAGCTTGGAAGGATCCGTGGGTGGCTTTGAGGGCCAATGTTTGTGTTGGTGTGCGCGTCCCGCATCTGGGGTTCAGAGGTTGGAGTTTTGCTTTATTTATGAACAATTTCGATGGCTTTCTGGCCTGGGAACGTTTGTTCAACTTGTCTATGCCATGTGGCATTCTGTTTTGGTTTACAAAGGATCTTCAGGTGGTCATGCGGAGAAATTTCCCACCACTGCTCATGGGTTGTCATTCATCTTGCTGTCTTTGCTAGCTATGCCGCAGGCCCGGAAAAGACTGCTGAAGTCGTAGTAATCGCAGTGATATTACTGCCTGCTCTGCGTCACTCAACGCATTGTAGTGACTGTTGCCAAGAGACGGCGCTCGGCTCCGGTCGTTGATACAGCCCTCGTGCATCTCAACATGCAGGTCAAGGGTAACCCTAGTTACAAGGACCTCTGAGGATCCAAGCCTTCGCCATGACAGCGCTAGCATGATTGACAATCCCAGCAAGAGCATTGATTCAGGAACCTCCCATCTAGCACCCATATCTCCTCATGCTCCAGTTGAAAGCTTTCACATTTAAGCCCAAGGCCCGTTGCCTCCAAGCGCGAAAACCCATTACGCACCAAATCCGTCAACCTGAGCGGATGGCAAAGCAATGGGGGACAGCGAATGCAGAGGCTCAGGCAAAGGCCGAACGTGAGCTTGGAGCTCACTGGTGCCAATGGGCCAATGGGGATTCAGGTACCCGGGATATTTAGAGTTGGTTTACTTCAGGTTCACAGGCCCTACCGGACGCTCACTGCAAGAAGCTTGTCGTAACTTCTTCCACATCGATGGGAAGTGTGCCCAGACTTAGCTGTCGATTTTATCCTAAGCACTGTATTTCCAATTCTCGCTCAAACAACAGAACTTCACGGCCTTTTTGGTGTCAGATTGGCTGCTCCCTGAGAGCTGGATGCCTAGCAGTCACTTTCCAAGAGTAATTAGTCTGCAGTTGGTGGGTTTGGTCTTCCCAAAGCAGAAGCTGGGAGCCACAAGGCATGTTGCACTGCATGATTTTTTGGCAGAAAGGGGAGCCCGCAGATGAGCGGAACGTCAAGCAGGACTCTTCAGCAGGGCGAGCCCTCCAATGCGCCCGTCAATTCGGCTCCTGGTGCTATGCCTGATCACGGCCAGCTGCCTTCGACCCTTCAGTAACAAGTCCATTCCCATTCCCGAGTCAGTCTTACGCCAATGGCTATCTGATGCTGAGAGGGCCAAGGTCCTACGGCAGAATCGAGGCCTGGAGCTGTCCGCAGTGATTGACATCAGTCATGAGCTACTTGTTCTCCCATGAATTGGAGTTCTTCGGAGCATGGGACCCCGCAGCTGTGACAAACGCTTTTTCCAGGGCGTGCAATCAGCCCACCGGGTCGTGGGACACCTTCGCAGCAATTGACGTGAACTACATGGGCCACCTCGGCCGTGACTGACATGTGTAATGCCGCAGTGGCCTACACGTCGCTGTGAGTGATGAGCATGGCCACCATGTTCATCAAGGGTGCCGATGTCTTCAACCAGCCCATCGGCCTTCGAACAGACCCTTGGGCATGGGGCACCTCCACTGTTCTTTCCAAATCTGAGCTGTTCGTTGGTGCAGTCTTTTCCCATAAGCCGCCTTGCCCGGGCAGGGAGCTTCCTCGCCTAAAGCCAGCTCGGCTGCAAGCGGTGCCCTTCCAGGGGAAATGCCCACGCTGGATCGGGATGGATGTCAGGCTTGCCCAGCGGCACACTTCACGCCAGTCAACGGGGAAGTCTGCAAGCCATGCGGCTTGCTCTACATTGCCATGGAGACCATGTGTGTTTGGTGGCCTGTGCCTTTTTCTGCCGTGGTCATCGTGGCAGGGGATGTGGCAATGCGACTCTGGGCATCCTACAGTGGAAGAAGCCAAGGTTGCTGAGGTGATGGTAAGCTTCTGTGTGGAACTCCGGGTGGAAGAAGCCAAGACAATGGAGCACTAGTCGGTGTGGCTCGAAAAGCTGGGTTTCCACGTCGAAAAGCCGAGCTTCAGGGGTGAGCATGCAATACTTGCTATCAGATGGCTTTGCTGAGCTGGCCACTCTGGCCAAAGGAACAAGACAGATCCGAGTTGCATTGAAGGAGGCTTTCTTTGCCAGCGATGACGGGCCGGATTGCTGCCAAACACTTCGAGGACAATTGTAGCACCCTGGTTCAGTCGCTGTGGAATGAGACTGAGACGGTACAGTGGTCCAGGGTTTCTGTTGGTGGAGATGGTTTTTGAGGGCGTTGAAGGTTTTTGCGGGTGTTGAGGGTGTGATGGTGTTGCAGTGTTCAGGATGTTATGTTTTTTTGGGGGTCTTGCATTCGTTGATGGTGTTCGAGGGTGTTGAGTGTTTTGAGGTTGTTGGAGTTTATTAAGTTTTTAATCCGAGGGTGTTGCAAGTTCTCCAGTGTCTACGGGGCGTTACAAATTCTTGCGGGTGTTGAGGATGTGACGGCCTTGAGAACGTTGAGAGTTTTAGGATCTTGCGCATGTTGAGGGTTGCTGCAGGTGTTGGGGCGGTTCGACAGCGTTTTGGGTTTTTAAGGGTGGTGACGGTTTTTGCAGGTGTGAAAGGTTTGTGTCGGTGCTGGGGTTTTCGAGGGCGGTTTTTGAAGGCTTGTTGGTGCTGACGGTTTTGAGTTCTTGTGGTTGGGCTTATGCTTTAGTCATCACTTTTGTTTGCAAGCGGGTTTCAAGGCTCTCGGATTGTTTTGCATCGACTCACCCAAGATTTACACGTCTGAAAAAAACACCAAATCCAGCCCTGATCCCATTGTTGTTGACTTGGCGACCCGGTTTGGGGCTTTTGGCTTTCAACTTTATAAACCCGAATTCTTAACCATCAATACCTAACAGCCTTCGAGTTTTCACCCGGAAACCGTACTAGCAACGTGACTTTTGACAGCCCTAAAGCCGTGACACACCTAAGAGCCTTTGAAAGGCGTAACAAACAACACTCACAGCCCTTTTCAATCCTGGTCCTAATCTGTCGTACCTATAGTCGAGGGAGGGGTCCTCAGTGACCAGAACGCGTTCTGCGGCCTTCGCCTCCGAACTTTGCCTCTTCGCCTCGGCCACTTCCGCCCGGAAGCCGCGAGGGTTTAGCCCCCGCGAGGGTTTAAGTAAACTTGACTCCTCAAAACCTTAGAATAAATCGTAAACCCTAGAAAACTCTAGAACCCAATCAGAGCCCTAAAGCAAGACTGTTTAGTTTAGGACTCTAAACCCTAAGCCAGCTGAATTGGAAAAACCCCCAAGGATCACCAACAGCAAGATCGGTGTGGGTGAGTTCCGGCGTCCCGGCATGGCTTGACGGACTCCGCTCTTGATGATTTTGGGTCTTGGGTGTTTACGATTTTGGAGTTGGGTCTGCTCGGGGTTTCGGAGTCTTCAATATCTTCGCATCCATATGCAGGCGAAATGCCCTAATCCGAACCCTGGGTTTCTCAACCAGAGGTTTTTATTATGGCTTCGACAGCTTACGAAACACTTCGGGTTCAGGGTAGTTCGTTATGGTTTTTGGTCCAGGGTTTCTGAGGCCTCGACACGGTTACGGACAGGGGTTTACGGCTGGGAGATGGGTTCGGCACCTAGGGTTTACAAGCCCAACATGAAGGCCCTGAGCCTTAAATAAAGGAGATCCAGTAATCGGAGGTTGACATGAAGTCTTTAGAACTTGGGTTGGGGGGATGTTGAGTCCAACCTAGAGTGCAAGATGAATGACCGTGGTTTGTGCAGTAATCTGGACTTGTTCGCCTTATGTTCCCGTAGACGTCCGGAGCCTTGTGCCGCTCGAACCTTTCAAAACGTTGTGTTCATAAACGTCCCGGGCTTCGAAACGGCTGCCAGGGGTTCCCGAGGCTTGGAGTCAAAGGTATGCCAGAACTCAAACTGGCGTAAGCAAGGGATCGTATCCTAAACTCGTAGCAGGAAGGATCCTCATTCCCGCAAATGGAAGCGGAATCGTCACAAGGGCGAAAGTCGTGGCGGCAGAGGCCTGCGGCTGGTGTGCACTTGGAGAAGACGGGCTCTCAAAGCCTGAGGTAGCGTATAGCCGAGATGTGCCGTAAGAATGGATTTGCCAGTTTGGTTTAGACTGCGCAGGGGGGAAGTTGGGAGGCGTGTGCCAAACAAACATCTGCTTCGGGTCTCGCTTCGGAGTTCCTTCTTTGTTGGCATCAGTCAGTTAGAGCTCTCTCCGGCAAATCATCCCGCATGTGCCATTGACCTCGAAGCTGGAGTATGTGTAGTTTCCCTGATTGGAGAGCTATGCCACCGATTGGGCTTCACATGAGTCTGGCCAAACACTGCACTTGACAAGAACTGCAAGACACCACTTTGAAGCGCTTCTTTCGCAATGTTCGTATTCTGGACTTTCAGACTTGCTGTGCAACACTTGTTAGTGATAGGTTTCTTCTCATTCTCACCATCGCGGGATCCCAAATGCCACCTCAAAGACTCCGTGAATCCCCGGTTCTACAGAATCCTACCACCCCGACCCACAGCGCAGGAAGAGCTGGCAGCCATGGAGGAGTTGCACCGCACTAAGTGCTGGCGTGCGGGACCAAGCACCAGTGCGGTCAAGGTCACGCAAAAGTTTCGGACTGTTACGGAGTCTTTGTTTGCTGCTGATGTGGTGCATGGATGCTTGGCTGTAATCAATGGCGGGATGAAGTGGTTGGAGACTTTGTTGACGGACTGTTTCTGCCGGGCTTGTTGGTGAATCGTGTGTTGGTTGCCTGCTTGGTATGTCGGAGCGGGTCGGTGGGCTGGTGGGCTTCTGTGCGCTGGCACTTGTGGTGAAGAGGATTGTGGCGCCGGACACTTTCAGTTAACCACTCGTCCTCTCATCATCCGGCACGAAAGGCAGCTCAGCTGGCCCCGTGTCGGTAACCACTCCGAATACTGGATTGTGGGAGATGGGTGGGGCTGGACCTCGCGGTTGGCTGTGCAGGAGGGCTCATCCAAAGACCCGGTGATGCTAGTGTGGACCTCTTTCTTGGCAGCGCCCTTTGAGGAAGCAATTCCATGGCCGACCCTCCTGGGAGAGCCCTCTGGTTTGGCTTCCATGGCCCGTCCATGATCGAGAGCGCCGAGAGGCCGGACGCACGACCCGGAGCCGGCGAGGAAGAGTGAGACTCACGGCGAGTGAGCTTGGTCTACCCTTCTGGAGTGTTCTGGGTTGCTTTCTTCCGAGCCTGCGCCGGTCACGGAGGGTGGTGGGGAGGGTGGTGTGTCGGGCAGAGCTTCGTCGTGAATGCTGCTTCTGCTGACTTAGTTCGTTGTTAGTTTGTTAAGTTTATGTTGATGTTGGTTGTTGTTTGCGGTCGTTATGTTTATATTGCTGTGGTGGTGGTGGTGATTGTGTTGATGTTGGTGGTGGTGGTGGTGGTGGTGGTGGTGGTGGTGGTGGTGGTGGTGGTGGTGGTGGTGGTGGTGGTGGTGGTGGTGGCGGTGGTGGTGGTGGTGGGGGTGCCGGTGCCGGTGCCGGTGCTGGTGCTGGTGCTGGTGCTGGTGCTGGTGCTGGTGTTGGTGTTGGTGTTGGTGTTGGTGTTGGTGTTGTTATTCTTCATGTTCTTGTTGTTATTGTCGTTTAGATCGGGGTTCTGGCGTGTGGGTTCTTTCTGTTGTTATTGCTGTTGGAGTTGTGGTGTTGTTTGTTATGCTTCTTGTTGCTTGTTGGGCTTCTTCTTTGTGGTTTAGGTTTTTTGTTCAGGGTTTAGGGATTCGCGGCTTAGGGTTTGGGTTTCAGGGCTAGGAGTTTAACAATGGTTTCACCGTTCAGTTTATTGAGCGTGTAGGGTCTATTCAGGCTTAAGGTTATTTCGGATTTTAAGGTTTGTCTTGGGTTTGGTTTTGGGTTTAGGGTTCAAGTTCATTCATGGTTTTACGGTTTGTTCAAAGTTTACTTGCGGTTCGTGAAAACCTTATGTATTTCAGTGTTCTTTACTTCGACCTGATAAGGGTCAAGGTTTCATTCGGGTTCAAGGTTTCGGTAGGCCTCAATCGTCGAATGTTGAATTCAAGTTAGGGGTTTGTTCAGGGTTGAACGTTTATTTGGGGTTTCAGGTTTATTTGAGGTTTTAGGGTTTGAAGCGTGAGGGTTTTTTCGGGTTTTATGGCTTTACTTGGGCTGCTGTAGGATGTACATGGCTTACAAGTTAACTTGGGCTTCCAATTTTGGTGTAGGGTGTTAGGTTTT